TACACACACACACACACACACACACACACACATGTCCACACTTTATGTTTTACTGTGAATGTTGAAACAATTGTTTACATTGTGTTCAAATTGACAATTAGGTGTCCATGTGTTTGTCGGGGGGAACTGTTGTGAAATGCTTATTTGGAATATATATATAGCTTGATTTGTCCGGAAGTTTCATTAGTAGCATAATGTATAATTTAGAGGGCTATGAGCTTAAGTGTACTGTATTCATTCAAATTGTGTTAACTTCCATCCACTGCCAAAGCCCAAAAAATAGTTCGTCCAGACATACTCAAGAAATGAAATGCTTGTTTGCAGGTGCGGATCGACCTAGGGTGAGATAATGTTGTGCATTTAATAGTCGAGTCACGCCATTGTGGATACAGAGGAAAGAAGTGCAGGTAATGTGTGTTGGTATGAGTAGTGACATAAAAATGGCAATCTAATACATGTACTCCTTATCAATTTGACATACCGCTTCAAATTTCTGACGATTTGGATCGGAAAGTGTGGTCTGGTGCAAAGTGGTCGATACATCTCCCTCCTTCTCCACTTCCTTGCTAGTCTTGTACTTAATGCCCTGGAAGGCGTCTACTACGTACTTCTTGGAATTGAGGGTTGCAGCCACCATGGTCTATACTTGGGTTTTGTCTGTGTGGCATGAGCTTGTCTAATGTGAATGCATTCTATCATGATGAACGTACAAAAGGAAAAGCATAGCGCCAAAAGCTGCAGCAACAAAAAAAATTCTTATCCAGACGATCAGTGTATTATTAGATTTTTTTGCGGGGACTGCAAAATATATAAAAAATTTAACAGGGTCAGGAGACTGAGGACAGTCGTAGTCATTACCCTTAGAAAATCACCCAGGTTGTTTTCGTGCGAAACATAACCCCCGTTGTGGAAGAAGGGGAATATAATACAATTCAAAACCATAGCCTCCTAAAAACGACATCGAAACCCAGGGGACAGACTTCCAGAGGGTCATGTGAGAGTTTAGTTCTTTTAAATCAAGATTCGTGCCTTTCTGACTTTAATAATGCACATGATGTCCAAGTAGAATAAATCTACTCTAGTAGAGTCAGCAAATGATTCTGTTTTATATATTTAAAACAGTTTGTGTCTTCCTCATTTATATAGAACTCAAAGATAATTCCAATTGCAATGAATTCACTGCAGATTATCTGTGAGAAAGTCAGTGATAAACACAGCTTCAAGCGCAGAGCAGTTATTTGGGAGATTATTGAATTTTGATCGAATTTTGACTGAGGATGGTACAAGTCAAGCTGCGGTAATGAAAAAGACATGATCGCTCTACAATCATGTACAGAGTGAGAATTGAATGTTTCTCACTGTTATCTTTTGAAAACTACTTACCAGATCTGCTTGGTTATGTTTGTCACATCAATTTTATAAGGTTACAATCATTACCTTATAAAATTTGCGGAACCTCATTTGTTTTTTATATAAATTGCTGATACGTGCAGATCCCCTCAGTGGTTCACTTGCATTCCTTGGTATCTCTCATATGCCATGCCATGAGTACAAATTCATGTGCAGTCGCTTCCATATACAACAACAAGCAGCTTTATCATCAGTATATCATGTTGAAAGCAGATCTTATATTGTTGTGACCCCAGGCCTATGCTTTCAAGCAAACCGGGTAATTGTACGTCACTAAGTTGAGTAGTGACTAGCGACCAGACTAGTTCGAAAAGAGCCCTCAGTCGTGTTGATCTTAGGACTTCAAATCGTACAGTGTATCCAGATAAATTCACCAACTCATGATAGGCACTATTCAGCTTTTAAACAATTGAGCTGATTTCTAGTACACGAATATGATGACTTCTATTCGTATCAGAAAGTACACAAATATATAAACATAACCGCTCATATCTATTGAAAGTAGCTGAGAACGATATTACAATTCTCCCCACGGCATAGCCAACAAGTGGTACAAGCACACCAGAACGATGTTGCCAATTGACTTGATCAAACATCGGCTTCAAAAGCGAAATAGGCATCAATATGTACAATTCACACGGTATACACGAGCAAGACAACCAGGAAACTAAAATAAGAACAGTGGTACTCCACAGGAACAGTGAAGTGGATTACTTAGATAACATGCCTGGTCACAAACACCAGACTTTTGGTAGCAAACTATGTACAAAAATAACCATCAACTATCTTCTTTATTATCTTGCGTCTGCTTCCTAACTCATATACATCGAATGTACGTGTATGTATTTTACAGCACAAATACGATTTACGCCACCTTGCAGGTGGTGGACGACGAAGCTGTGTTAAGAATGATAGCAACAATCATTCCGTAAAGTCCCAATACCTCAGCGAAAATGAGAATTAGGACCATTCCAACGTATAGTTTAGGTTGCTGTGCGTTACCTCTGACACCAGAGTCTCCCACAATACCTACAGCGAATCCAGCAGCCAGGCCGGACAATCCAACGGATAGACCAGACCCAAGGTCAAGGAAACCCCTACAGATACAAGGCGAGGGAGTGAATGAGCATCGTTGTACGCACCACGTAAACGATACGGAATCGCACGGCACACAAGCGATTTTCAAGACAGTGCAATAGAAACACAGGCATATATATATAGATAGATAGACTTACTCGAAAAGTGTGTAGTCAGAAGGATTCATTGAGTTTCCGATTAATACAGCAACCACCAGGCCGTAAATAGCAATGATACCAGCCATAACAACGGGGATAATACACTTCATGATCAACTCTGGGCGCATCACGGCCATGGCGGCAATACCAGTGCCGGACTTGGCGGTTCCGTACGCAGCACCGAAAGCTGCAGTATCAACGAGGGTGAAAAATGAGACACCCGTGTGTCGCAATCCATCACAATGTGAGGAAAGTGATGACAAATAGTTTTGACTACAACGGTGCATTTCAAATAGTACCGGAGTTAGGATTGCCAAATGATACTGCCGCACCATCTTATGGCTTAAGAATATTTGCGCACGTATGTTCACAAGTACATTTGGGTATACCAGGGTGCCGAGGATGCTTTCGCACAAACAAATAAATACGAATGGCATGAATATATAAAAGTCTCCACTCTGTAGCTGTAGTCCAAAATATTCGAAAAAAACAACAAAGTACACCTAAATATACTACTTAAATAGTACCAAAAAGTACAGTTGATACGTAGTAGCGTGAAAGAGGGTCGGGTATTGACGTGCCAAAGTCACAGAAGTACTGGTTTGCTAATGCTAAAAATTCAGTACAGAAAAAATCTCAAGCAAAATACTATGTCGTCCACCGAGTGCTATAGTACCCACATAATCAAGTAATCTAACTAATAGCTTCAGTATAGACAACGAATAGACAACGAATTGTACGATTAAGGATTGGATAGAATATGCGTGAATGCGACTGAGAATATAAAATATGCGTGAATGAATGCATCACTACATACCACTGAATACCATGGCAGAAGCGGCACCTAGGGCCCCGAAGAAGGGTGCATAATAAGGACACTTGTCGCCACCTGGGCCCAAGAGAGGTTGCGCGAAGTTCTCAGCCATATTTAGGTACTACAGTAAGATTCGTTATTGACAAGTGTACTAACGATGTTGCTTGGATGCGCAAGTGTATTGTATATCGAGACTTCATGAAGGTTATTTACCTTTTTTACAATTTCTCCTAGATTGATTTCCAGACAAATACACACACACAAACATAGGTATATTTGGGTCTGGCCAATTAACCAGAATTACTTACGTAAACTTAGTTACAGTCGATCACTAAAATTGTCTGGCTGCTGCAGAGTACGTTTTCTAATTGTGGAGAATAAAAGACAACTCGTTACGTTTATTATTCTCAACCTCTAACTGGCTGCAGAGGATACGATGAATTATTTACCATTTTTGGCCTAACTGGTTGGTGATTACTCTTGAGCTTCCAAACTTGGGACAGAAACTTTTCGCGCCAATAATCCGAACTAAAATATCGAAAGAGGCCAAATGGCCAATGCTTCTTCTAAAACGACAAGAAGAAGAGAGGCTATATTTATATATATAATTGCATTCTGTTAAATTGCATTCTGTTAAAATACGTTCATTTGGATTTGCGTTTGCTGTTGAGTTGTGCCAGAGCTACAGTGATACCCCTAACATCAATATTGTGCCAAAAAAAGAACGCATTTTAAACAACTTTGAGATCCATAGGCTTCTAAATGGGACAGTAGACCAGGAAATTCCAATAAGGTATGTATGAATCCTCCAAGCAGCCCGTTCAAAACAAGTACAGTCACTAAACACGCACATAACTACTTGTAGATTCCACGTGATGTGTTTCCAGAGTGTATGATAAAATTATATTATACTAGTATACGATAATAGTATATATATTTATATATATATATATATATATATATATATATATACATACACACACACACACACACACAC